ACCCAATATATCTATATATATATCTATATCTCTATATATATAAATAAAAGCCTAAGCCAACCGGCCAGTAGCTATGGCATGCACTGACCACCAGGAGGCAGACGCTCAAGCAGGAGCAGAAACCACAGGCAGGGAAACATGGAACAGACTGATGAATCTCAGAAGGGAGGGAAAAGAGTGAGAAGAGATTAACCAAAGATCTTATATGCATACGAGAGCCCCAGTGCATGTATTCATGCTCCATTGGGGTCCCTCAGCCTGTCCTGCCTCCTCTCACAGTCCAAAAGCTCTCGGAGGATGTCTGACTGACAGCTTAGACCCACTCCCCACTGGGAGCAGACTTAAGCCCTCAGTCGGACATCCTTAGTGCTGCCATGGAGTTGGGAGAAGCTCTGGCCATCGTTGCTGCGCTCTCTGGCCATGAGCGCAGCTCAGGGCTTCTGGCTGTGCCGCACATCCCTGTTGGAGTGCACTGACCTCCTGTGTTGAGAGTCTGCCCCTTGGTGGTCAGTGCATGTCATAGTGACCAGTCATTCTGCCATTTGGTCAATTTGCATATTGCCTTTTTATTATATAGGATTTTAAGAGTTGTATAGTTTTAGCTCTTAGATTTAGGTCTTTGACCATTTCGAGTTAATTTTTATATATGGTATAGAGAGTGGTTTGTTTTCTTTCTTATGTGTATATCTAGTCCCAGAACAATTTGTTGTAAAGATTATTCTTTTCCCCACTGAATTGTCATGGCCCTCTTGTAGGTAATCAAAAGACCATAAACCTATAGATTTAATCCTGGACTCCCAGTTCTATTCCATAAATATATATGTCTAGCATTATGGCAGTACCCGGACCATCTTGATTACTTTTACAGTAAGTTTTGAAATCAGGCAGTGTGGGTCATTTAAATTTGTGCCAAGATAATTTTGAAATTGTGTTTAACTAACTTAGTCAAATAAAAACAAGTAGATGAGGAACAATTGAACAAATCTAAGCATGCCTCACACTAACCTAGTTCTTAGGAACAGAAAGACTCTCTAGACTTATCCAGCCAGGTTCATTTTATTCTTTCCTTTATTCAGCAGTGATTTTAGGGAGTTTTTATAGCAACATAGCTGTGAGCAGTGCTGAAAGTTGGACCATGGGAGATAGTTTTGAAAATTATTTCATCCTAAGAGGGAGTAGTGATGGTGGGGATGTTAGAGGTAGAATTTTTAGGATTTGCAATGGATAAGTTATGGTTGGTAAAGAAAAATAAAGGATTGAAGATACTTATATTTCTAGCTTGGGGATGATTGGTAGATATAGTTAGGGAAGTAGACTATGTAAAGATAGAGTAAAGATAGTTTTATCTGTTCTTTCAAGAAATCTGACAAGGTTGGAGGAGAAAACGGGGTATGAGAAGGTTGATTGTTTCTATTTTGCTGGTTGTGTTTTAGGGTGGGGGAAACTTGCTATCTGAGGTAAAATTGAAGATGTGATGGGTAGTTTAATTATCACTTTAAGTCCCAGGAGAAATGTAGAGCAAAGCCAGTTTTTTCCTCTTAAGACAGTGAGAGAGGTGATAATTCTTAATGTCTGTATTTTCTCTAGAGCTAAAGTTGGGAGGTGGGGTGAATTAGGGAACTATGGAACTTAAAAGCAGTGAAGGGTTGGAATTGCCATTGAGAAATGTAAGTAACATAACAAGGAAACAGAAAATAGTAATGAAAAAGACAAGACAGGATCAATTCAGGAAGTTTAGCCTCCCAGTTCCTGAGAGAGCAGAGAAAATGGGGTAGGGAGTTATTGGTGAAATCAAGAAAAGTTCCCCATGAAAAATGTTTTTGTCTGAAGTTTCCAGATTGAAAGATCCACTTAGTGCCCTACACCGTAACATCAACATGAAGACATGAATAAATTTAAGTTTGCAGAGCAAAAAATTAGGTCTCAAAAGAAAAGGATCAAGAATCAGAATGGCTTCAAATTTTCTAACAACAATAGCAGAAACAGAAAAACTGGGCATCACCTCCCTATTTCTGGTAGAAAATAATTTTCAGTGCATTCTATAATAATAAAAGTGTAATATGCTAATTAAACCAGACAGCCGAACGATCTTCCAGGTGTCATTACAGCCAGCCTTCCTGAAGAAGCCAGGGGGATGGGGGCAGAGGCAGTTAGGAGCCATCAGGAAGGCAAGCAGGCAGGCAAGCAGTTAGGAGCCAGAGGTCCAGATTGCAAGAGGGTGCAGGCCAGGCTAAGGGACCCACTCCCTCATCTCTTCCCTCCACCCCCCCTCCCCCACACAAATTTCCTGCACCAGGCCTCTAATAATTCTATATATAGCCAGATTATCAATAAACTGACCGAGAAAAGATGCTCAGACATTCAGGGTGCAGAAAAATGAGGGAATTTAGCCAGGATAGAGGAAAGAGCAGTTAAAACAAATGGGAAGGGACTACTCTCATCATCACAGATCTTGTAGTCCTAGTTAACTGTGACTTTGCACATTAAAACTTTAAAGTGAGTGGGCCACACTAATGTAAATGTATTTAATATCACTGAACTGTACATTTTTAAAATTATTAACATGGTATATCTACCACAGTAAAAAAATAAATTAATTAATTAATTAAATGGAAGATAGAAACAGCCAGCCCATACAATTCTTAAAGTTTACCTATAAAGGATTGATAAAGGACAATACTTGAGGGGTGTCATGGGGAGTAGTGTACTATCTTTGTACTGTGCCCTTGGAATGTCTATTAAATGTAAAGTCAGAAAATCTAAAAATGTTATCTAAGGTGTCCTAGTACATGCACAGAGGAACTTTGCTGCTAAGGATTGGACCTAACTGGGATGGCTTTTAAGTTCTTCCCTGGATGCTCTAAGGGTAGGGGTGGGGAATATCCAGCCAGAAATCATTAAATGTTTAACCAAATGTAGCAAGCTAGTTTTTAAGTTGATATTTTGTATGGCCCAAGAATGTTATAAATATCTAAGTGGCAAAAAAAAGTTCCCCACCTCTACTCTGGGGCCTTTGTGTTTACTTTTCCATCTAAGGCAGCGGTTCTCAACCTGTGGGTCGAGACTGCTTTGGGGGTCGAACAACCCTTTCACAGGGATCGCCTAAGGCCATTGAAAAGCATTATTTCCAGTGGTCTTAGGAATCAAGACACTGCTCCTCTATTCGTTTCCAGGTGGGTCCGCCCACCTGGAGATACACCCACATACGGGTACCCGGCATGATGACATCATCGCGCCAATCCCATCACATACCCCATACAAATATAGGTATATGTGACAGGGTTGGTGCCATAATGTACTTCTTTTTAAAACATCTTTATTCGTCATATTATTACAAATGTTCCTTATTTTTTTCCCCTCCATTGCTCCCCTCCGCCAGGTTCCCACCTCACCTTTTCCCCACTCCCATTTCCCTCATCCATAGGGTGCACATTTTATATTAGTCTCTTCCCACACCCCCCACTCACCTTTTTTCCGAGAATCATCAGTTCACTCCCCTTCCATACCTCTGATTCTATTATATTCACCAGTTAATATTGTTTATCAGATTTTTTAATTCCCTTGGTTTTTAGATTCACTTGTTGATAGTTACCTATTTGTTGTTCATAATTTTTTATTTTCTTCCTCTTCCTAAAGAACCCCCTTCAGCGCTTCATATAATTCTGGTTTGGTGGTGATTGACTCCTTTAGCTTTTTTTTTTATTTGTGAAGCTCTTATCTGGCCTTCAATTCTGAGTGATAGTTTTGCTGGGTAGAGTATTTTTGGCTGTAGGTTCTTGCTCTTCATCACCTTGAATATTTCTTGCCATTCCCATCTGGCCTGCATGGTTTCTGTTGAGAAATCAGCTGACAATCGTATAGGTGCTCCTTTATATGTAACTCCCTGCTTTTCTCTTGCTGCTTTTAATATTCTCTCTTTGTCTTTCGCTTTTGGAATTTTAATTATGATTTGTCTTGGTGTGGTCCTCTTTGGATTCCTTTTGTTTGGGGTTCTATGCACTTCTGAACTTGTAAGTCTAATTCTTTCACCAGGTGGGAGAAGTTTTCTTTCACTATTTCTTCCAGTATGTTTTTGGTATCTTGCTCTCTTTCTTCTTCTGAGATCCCCATAATTCTGATATTGGTTCGCTTGAAGTTGTCCCACAGGCTTCTTACATTCAACTTTCTAGATTCTCTTGTCTTCTTGCTTCTGTGGAGGAGTGTCTTCTGGCTCTTTATGTTCCAAATCTTTGACTTGATTCTTGCGATCTTCCATTCTGTTTTTAGGACTCTGTATAATATTTTTTATTTCAGACAATGTATTCTTTATTTCTAGCTGATCCCTTTTCATATCCTCATAGGTCTCGTTTATTTTATCGGCCTTTTCTAGGAAATTCTTGAAAAACCTTGTATGGTTTTGAACTCTATATCCAGTCGCTTCTTGTCCTCCATTTCTTTCGTTTGTGATCTTGTTTCCTTGTCTCGGCATTTTCGCAGCTTCCCTGAGTTGGTAGGGTGGCTTTGTGTGCTAAGGTGTCCTATATGGTTCAGTGGGTCAAGCCTCCCAGTTACCTGAGGTATACACTCTTGGTGCACCCCTTTGTGGACTGTGTGTACAGCCTTATTGTAGTTAAGTCTTGATTGTTGTTGGTATCACTGGGAGGAACTGACCTCCAGGCCAATTGCCTGTGAAGATCAGCTGTGTCTATGCCGGGAGACAGCCTTATTTGATTAGACTTGGAAAATTTCAAAATCCTCTGTGCTCAGCTTGTATGGGGCGGAGTTTCAGGGTAGAGCCTACAGCCTTGCTTCCCGTCAGCCCCACCCTATGAGGTTCCTGAGTCTCAGTGTTCCTCAGTGTCCTTTGGTACACGCTGCTTTGGTACTCGGTGCAAGCACCTCTGAGAGAAAGGTGCCCTCGAGTTTCGCCCGCTACCAGACAGTACTTTGATCAGTGGCTTATGAACAGATGTTTAATTCAGAAAAATAAATGTAGCCTAAACTTATCTCATTCTTTGCAGTGTCAACTTCTTATCTAAGAACTGGAAAGACTGACCAGTTTGAACATGGAAAACCAAGAACCAGTGGATTCTTCTGGAAAAAACAAACAGTTTACTATTTCAGAGGAGGTATAGTTTTTCACTTACTTTTCCCCTCCCCACATAAAACTGATTTGCAAAGAAATGTAGACTATTTGTTGTTTCAAATTATTTTTTTTTTTAATTCTTAAAGACAGGTTTTAAACATTATACCTGTTCCCTTTTTCACTTAGCCATTTATTTGATAACTTTTTTTCCCTGTCAAAAGTAATAATTCTGTAAAAGGATTGAGAAAAACAGGTTGATAGTTACAAAATAGTTATGGGGACGTAAAGTACAAAATAGAAATATAGTTAATGATATTATAATAACTATGCATGGTTTTGGTTAGGTAGAGGTCAGGGGGAACACTTAGTAATGTTATATAATTGTGTAACCACTATGCTGTACACCTGAAACTAATACAAAATATTATTAACTAGAGGCCCAGTGCTTGAAATTCGTGCAAGGGACGGGAGTGGAGGGTGTCACTCAGCCCAGCCTGCACCCTCTCCAATCTGCGACATCCCTCTCACAATCCAGGGCTGCTGGCTCCCAACTGCTCACCTGCCTTCCTGATTGCCCCTAACTGCTTCTATCTGTCAGCCTGATCACCCCCTAACCACTCCAATGCCAGTCTGATTGATGTCTAACTGCTCCTCTGCCAGCCCGTTAGCCCCCAAATTCCCTCCTCTGCCAGCCTGGTCCCTCCCAACTGCCCTTCCCTGCTGGCCATCTTGTGTCCAGATAGGGGCAGGATCTTTGACTACATGGGGGCAACCATCTTGTGTGTTGGAGTGATGGTCAATCTGCATATTACTCTTTTATTAGATAAGATAGAGGCCTGGTGCATGGGTGGGGGCCAGTTGGTTTGCCCTGAAGGGAGTCCCAGATCTGGGGGGTGGGGGGGTTCCCTTGGGGCATGGGATGGCCTGAGCGAGGGGCCTATCTTGGTTTGCAGGCCAGCCATGCCCCCCAGTGACTCAAGTGGAGGCCTTGGTATTTGGGATATATTTTCTACAATTGAAACTTTGTAGCCTTGAGTAGAGCAAAGCCTCCTGCTTGCTTCATGGTGAGAGCCATTTCTGTTTGGATTTGTTTACCTTCTACAATTGAAACTTTGTAGCCTTGAGAAGAGGCTTAGGCCAGCAAGGGCAGGTGGAAATCTTGGCTTCCTCCATTGCCGGAGAAACTCCTCTCTCTTGCTCTTTGTGGCTATAGCCATCTTGGTTGGTTTTATTTGCGTACTCGCTCTGATTGACTTGTCTGGCTTGTGGGCGTGGCTGGTGGAGCAGATTGATGGTTAATTTACATATTACTCTTTTATTAGGTAGAATATAAACTGTAATTTATTTTTTCCATTTTTTCTTTATTGATTAAGGTATTACAAAAGTGTCCTTCTTGCCCATTGTTCCCCCATCACTCCAGTCCTGCCCTCACCCTCAACCCTGTTGTCTGCATCCATCACTTATGCTTATATGCATGCATACAATTCTTTTGGTTGATCTCTCCCCCTTACCCCAACCCTCCCCTACCTTTCCTCTAAGGTTTGAGCATATGATCAATGCTTCTCTGTCTCTAGATCTGTTTTTGTTCATTGATTTATGTTGTACATTATAATTCACAAATGAGTGAGATCATGTGATATTTACCTTTCTCTGACTGACTTATTTCTCTTAGCATAATGCTCTCCAGCTCCATCCATGCTATTGCAAATGGAAGGAGTTCCTTCCCTTTTTTTATTAAAAAAAAAAAGTGTATTTTATTATTTTTTACAGAAAGGAAGAGAGAGGGATAGAGAGAAACATCGATGAGAGAGAATCATCAATCAGCTGCCTCTTGCACACCCCCTACTGGGGATGTGCCCGCAACCAAGGTACTTGCCATTGACTGGAATTGAACCCCAGACCCTTCAGTCCGCAGGCTAACGCTCTATCCACTGAGCCAAACTGGTTTTGGCAGGAGTTCCTTCCTTTTAACAGAAGCATAGTATTCCATTGTGTAGATGTACCAAAGTATTTTTTTAAATATATTTTATTGATTTTTTTACAGAGAGGAAGAGAGAGAGATAGAGAATTAGAAACATCGATGAGAGAAAGACATCAATCAGCTGCCTCTTGCACACCCCCTATTGGGAATGTGCCCGCAACCAATGTACATGCCCTTGACAGGAATCGAACCCGGGACCTTTCTGTCCGCAGGCCAGCGCTCTATCTACTGAGCCAAACCGGTTTTGGCTGTACCAAAGTATTTTAATCCACTCATCTGCATATGGGCATTTAGGCTGTTTCCAAATCTTATCTATAGTAAATTGTGCTTCTATGAACATAGGGGTGCATATGTCCTTTCTGATTGGTGTTTCTAGTTTCTTGGATATATTCTTAGAAGTGGGATCACTGGGTCAAATGCGAGTTCCATTTTTAGTTTTTTGAGGAAACTCCATACTGTTCTCCATAGTGGCTGCACTAGTCTGCATTCCTGCCAGTAGTGCACTAGGGTTCCTTTTATCCGCATCCTCACTAGAATTTGTTATTTGTTGATTTGTTGATGATAGCCATTCTGACAGGCTGAGATGGTACCTCATTGTTGTTTTGATTTGCATCTTTCAGATGATTAGTGACTTTGAGTATGTTTTCATATTCTCTTAGCCTTCCTTATGTCTTCTTTTGAAAAGTATTTAGGTCTGTTGCCCATTTTTTAATTGGGTTGTTTTTTTCCCTTTTGTTAAGTTGCATGAGTTCCCTGTAAATGTTGGAGATTAAACCCTTATCAGAGATATCGTTAGCAAATATGTTCTCCCATGCAGTAGGTTGTCTTGTTATTTTGGTGATGTTTTCTTTTGCTGTGCAGAAGCTTTTTATTTTGATGTAGTCCCATTTGTTTATTTTCTATTTAGTTTCCATTGTCCCAGGAGCTGTGTCGGTGAAGATATTGCTTCAGCATATATCTTAGATTTTGCTACTTGTGGATTTCTCTAATATTTTTATGGTTTCCTATCTTATGTTTAGGTCCTGTATCCATTTTGTGTGTATTTTTGTGTATGTGTAAGTTGGTGGTCTAGTTTCATTTTTTTGCATGTGTCTGACCAAATTTCCTAGCACCATTTATTGAAGAAACTGTCTTGACTCCATTGTATGTTTTTGCCTCCTTTGTCAAATATTAATTGAGCATAGTGGTTTGGGTTCATTTCTGGGTTCTCTATTCTATTCTATTGGTCTATATGTCTGTTTTTTGCCACTACTAGGCAGTTTGGTATTGAGATCCCTCCTACTTTTTTCTTAGGATCACTGCAGCTATTCGGGGTTTTTATAAACTGTAATTTAAATAAAATTAAAAATATAATGAAAAAGAAAAAGTTGTAGGAATAAGAACATTTACTCTTCTGGAAAAATAGATGTTGGGTTCCTTTTTTAAAAAAATTCTACGATGTCACTTTTATTGGTTACATAGTATTCCACTATATAGATATATTTAAATTTACCTTTTATTTGTTTAACCTTTTCTGTATTGGTGCACATTTAAATGGTTTCCATCAATTTGCTATTGTACACCTGACAGCGTAAACCCTACTGGTTGAAAAGCCAATTAGAGTCTAGATTCTGACATGGAATATTTCTTAGTTCTGAAAGCAATCTTTGTATGCCCTGGGTGTGACATGGGGTCGGTTATGAATTGAATTTTGTGTTCTCAGAAAATTCATATGTTCAAGCATTAACCCCCAGTGAAGGTATGGAGATGGGGCCTCTAAGGAAGTAATAAAGGTTAAATGAGATCCTGAGTTGGAGCCTGATCCAATAGGAGAGTGTCCTTAGAAAAAGAAACATCCGAGTGTGAGCTCTCTTGCACACAGAGAGGAAAGGCAATATGAAGACGATTGTCTATGAGCCAGGCAGATAGATTTTGCCAGGAACCAAATTTGTCAGCAACTTTATCTTGGATTTATCAGACTCCAGAACTATGGGGAAATAAGTTTCAGCCACCCAGTCTACAGTATTTTCTTATAGTAGCTTCAGCAGACTACTACAGTGTTCATTGGCCAAATTCTACAAATCTACCTGAGATTTATTTTATATATTTATATTTAACAATTACACATTTACAGCATATAAATATCCTATATAATAAAAAGGTAGTATGCAAATTGATCATCACTCCAACACACAAGATGGCCGCCCCATGTGGTCAAAGATGGCTGCCCCCATGTGGACATAAGATAACTGCCACAAGATGGCCGGCAGGAAAGGGCAGTTGTAGGCAATCAGGCCAGCAGAGGAGGGCAGTTTGAGGGACCAGACCTGCAAGGGAAGACAGTTGGGGGCGATCAGGCCTTCAGGGGAGAGCAGTTAGGGGTGACTGGGCTGGCAAAGGAGGGAAGTTGGGGGCAACAAGGACTGCAGGGGAGGACAGTTGCGGGGGGGGTGGGGGGGGAGAGAAACCAGTCCTGCAGTTGGGGGGAACCAGGCCTGCAGGGGAGGGCAGTTGGGGGCAACCAGGCTGGCAGGGGAGGGCAGTTAGGGGTGACTGGGCCAGCAGAGAAGGGCAGTTGGTGGCAATTGGGCTATCAGGGGAGCTGTTAGGCATGGATCAGACTGACAGCTGAGTGGTTAGGGGGTGATCAGGCAGGCAGGCTAACGATTGGGAGCCAGCAGTCCTGGATTGTGAGAGGGATGTCTGACTGCCTGTTTAGGCCTGATCCCACTGGACATCCCTTGAGGGGTCACAGATTAGAGAGGGTACAGGGTGGGGTGAAGGACAACACCCCTCACCCTGTGCATGAATTTTGTGCACCAGGCCTTATTTTTATATATATATATTTAAATTTTTTATTTATACACACAAACTTGTATTCATTTCCTATATATTCTAATTTATATACAGGGGTTGGAAAATGTAGGTATATAGTTGTGAGTACAGGAAACACAGAATTTATTCTTGAATTATTATTTATTATTGTATTATTTTCTACATGAACAACTGTTAATTTTGCCCACTACTGTATTATAATTAATTAGTAAACTTTCCTTTCACTTCTTAAACTTTTCAGGTAGGGG